GATATCGAAGATGAACTTATCTCGGAATGGACATCATGACCACTAGAGGTTTTGAGCTAAACCTCAAACAAGGAATTTTGAAAATAAATGAAGAAGAAGTGGTTCTGCATCGAAAATGTGAGGAGACGCTTCGCGTGGTGGTAGCAGAAGATGTTTCGATCCCTGAGCGCTGTGAGATATTTTTGGATGGTTGCCTAGAAGGTAAAATGAATAATGGGAGTATTATTCTGTTGGAGCCAAGGAACCATGACAGCGAAATAGGACGAGGGATCGCTGTTGGAAAAGCCCTGCTACGAGCGAAGAAAACTGTACCGGTGAGAGTAATGAACACGAATTATTATTCTGTATCCTTGAAGAAGGGAACCCTCTTAGGGTACTGTTGTTCGGTCTCCTCAGTCGTTCGAAGCGTGGAAGCCTCCAAAGTTTCGACTTCAAAAATTCCGGACAAAATGGTGAAGGAGTTAGTAAACGTTAAAGGATTATCTCCCGAAAATAGAAGAAAATTGAGAAACCTGATAATCAAGTATCAAGATGTGTTTGATAAAGGAGAAGCAGGACAGAGAGGTCGTACCAATTTAGTACAACACAAAATTGATACCGGAGATGCACGACCAATCAAACAAAATCCGAGAAGACTTCCGCTCGCCAAACGTGAAGAAGCTGATAAAATCCTTCGAGAAATGAAAGAAGAGGGTGTCATCGAACCATCTAACAGCCCGTGGACATCGCCGGTAGTACTAGTAAAGAAGAAAGACGGTACCACCAGGTTCTGTGTTGATTATCGGCAGCTCAATAATGTTACCAAGAAGGATAGTTATCCCCTGCCGAGGATAGACGATACTCTAGACACGCTGGCGGGGTCAACGATATTCTCTACGTTAGATCTGAAGAGTGGATATTGGCAAGTCGACATGGCGCCGAAAGACAGAGAGAAGACAGCGTTCTCGGTGGGCTCCGGACTGTGGCAATTTACCGTCATGCCTTTTGGATTGTGCAACGCGCCAGCTACCTTTGAGAGACTAATGGAGTCTGTGTTAAAGGGACTATCCTGGACTACCTGTTTAGTGTACCTGGATGACATCATAGTGGTTGGGAAATCCTTTGACGATCATCTGAAGAATTTGGAAGAAGTTTTCAAGCGACTAGGGAGCTCTGGTTTGAAACTTAGCCCCAAGAAATGTCATCTGTGTCAAGAAAAGGTACACTACTTGGGCCATGTAGTCTCCTCTCAAGGAGTTGCGGTAGATCCACAGAAGACCAAGACAGTGGAAGAGTGGCCGATACCTAAAGATAAACATGAACTACGAAGCTTTTTGGGACTATGCACATACTATCGCCGCCATGTACAGGGTTTAGCCACCATCGCAAAACCATTGACCAGACTTACCGAAGGCGAGAGGCGTTTCTCTTGGGACTCAGATTCTGACGAGGCATTCCGAAAATTGAAGAAGGCCCTGACTAGTGCGCCCATACTTAGCTACCCTCTTGGCAACGGAAACTTTATATTGGATACCGACGCTAGCAATGTTGCGTTAGGGCTGTTCTGTCTCAGATCCAGGATGGTCAAGAAAAAGTCATTGGTTATTTTAGTAAGACCTTGTCAAAACCGGAAAGGAACTACTGTGTAACCAGACGAGAATTACTAGCAGTAGTTAAAGCAGTGGAACACTTCTACAAGTATCTCTATGGAAGAAAGTTCTTGTTAAGAACAGACCATGCTGCTTTGAAATGGCTGTTGCAGTTTAAGAATCCTGAAGGGCAGGTAGCTAGATGGATTGAACGATTACAAGAATTTGACTTCGACACAGAACATCGAGCTGGGGCAATCCATCGAAATGCCGACGCACTTTCCAGAAGACCTTGCGCTAAGGACTGTAAGCATTGTTCCCGAGCAGAAGAGAAAGAAGTGAAACTCCTAAGAACAACTGTGGTTAATGATAGTTGGCAACCCGAAGATCTTGCAAATGACCAAACCAGTGACCCAGAATTAGGTTTAGTAATTAACTGGAAAAACACAGGCCAAAGACCAACGTGGGAAGAAGTTTGCAGATATTCGCCGAACGTAAAGTCGTACTGGGCCCAGTGGAATTCCTTGGTAATAGATAACGGACTACTTCGCCGTGTGATCGAGAGACCGGAGGGACAAGAAGAGAGCAGGCAGATCGTCATTCCAAAGAAGAGGGTCCCAGAAGTCTTGGAGGAAGTTCACAATGGAACCAGCGGTGGACATCTTGGTGATACCAAGACACTTGGCAAGCTGCGTGAACGGTTCTACTGGGTGAACTGCAAAGAAGATGTGAGGGCCTGGTGTAAAAAATGTGACATTTGCGCAGCCATCAATGGGCCACAAAAGCGTGGTAAAGCCCCTATGCGCCAGTACAATGTTGGCAGTCCCTTCGAACGAATAGCGATCGACGTGGCTGGTCCTTTCCCGGAGACGAACGATGGCAACAAATACATTGTGGTAGTAATGGATTACTTCAGCAAATGGGTCGAGGCCTACGCGTTGCCAAATCAAGAAGCGTCCACGATTGCTGATGCCCTTGTTAAAGAATGGATCTGCAGGTTTGGTGTTCCCATGGAGCTTCATTCAGATCAGGGAAGAAACTTTGAGTCCAATCTGTTCCAAGGCGTCTGTGAAGTCCTGAACATCCGCAAGACCAGGACGACTGCTCTACATCCACAATCCGATGGGATGGTTGAACGCATGAACAGAACTATCAACCGTTATCTGGCCAAAGTAGTCTCTGACCACCAAAGAGACTGGGACAAATTTCTTCACCTGTTCCTGTTGGCCTACCGTTCATCCGTCCAAGAATCTACAGGGCAAACTCCAGCCAGCATCGTTATGGGACGGGAAGTGCGCCTACCCTGTGATCTGAAATTTGGTTGCCGACCGGGAGAAGAAGTCGCCGGAGAAGATTATGTCCACACACTACGTCAAAGGATGGACGACATTCATCAGAGAGTCCGCCTAAATATTCAAAGTGCTAGTGACCGAATGAAGGAACACTACGACATTCAAGCTGAGCATGGAGGATACCAACCAGGGAAGTTGGTGTGGCTATATAACCCGCAGAGACGTCGTGGGTTATCTCCGAAGCTACAATCCTCGTGGGAAGGGCCATACGAAGTCATGGATAGAATTAATGACGTCGTATACCGTATCAGAAAATTGCCAAAAGGAAAACCGAGGGTAGTCCATTTCAACCGTTTGAGCCCCTACCAAGGCGAAATAGAAGATCGTGCTGGGACCGTGAGAACCTGCAGCTTTGATCCCCCTGATTCGGAGATGTCCTTTGACGATTTCATGGCCCGATACAACAGCAGTGAGAAGGCTCGCTATGGTGTAACCAAAGAAGATCAACGAGACCTCTTTTCCGTGCCTCCTGATTATTCGCTCGCTCATTGTGTGGCTCGAGATTTGCGGATGTCCAGAGGAATCGCTGCGACGTTCAATGAGAAGTTTGGGCGTGTCGGAGAACTACGCCGACAGGATCCAGAGGTTGGAAGCGTCTTGAGGCTAACCGACAATGCACATGGTCAAGCAAGGCACATCTTCTACCTGGTCACCAAGGAATGGTCCCCGAGTAAGCCGACTTATCTCAATCTATGGAAGACCCTGATTGAACTGAGAGAAGCCCTGCTAAACAACAACATTGCACGATTAGCCATTCCGAAGCTGGCGTGTGGACTCGATGGTTTGAGTTGGCGTACAATCCGGAACATGATTGAAGTCTTGTTCAGATTTACGGGAATCGAGATCCTCGTTTGCTGCTACAACCCAAAGCTGAGATCGGGAGAGAAAACTGTAGACTGCTATTTCTACCAGACTTCTCAATGTACCAGGGGCCAGCTTTGCAAATACCTTCATTCACCGTGTACATCTCGGGACGAGCATGTACCTAAGAAGGGGGCAGTGTTGCGGACCCGTGTGGACTCGACCTAACCTAACTATATGTTCTGCCCTCAGATGACCTTAACATCGCATTAAAGAATAGACACCGTAATGATTCATTCGTTCGAGAAGAATCGAGTCCCACTGGAATGGACTAGTACATACGAGAACATTCGAAAACCTTCTCTATGCACCTAACGATCTATGGACTATTCTAGATTTCTTTTTGCTGTAGGTATAAAAGCCGGCGGCTGTGGCCTAGAGAGAGCAGTTATAAATATACAGTTGACGCGCTAAAATTCAAAATAAATTCTTAGTTATAAATCGTTTGTAAATAGTTCTATAAGTCTTTTATCGTTATTGTTTTTGTTAATTAGTGTTAAATAAATAGTGTTTAAATAAATTGTGACTTTCTATCCACACGGAACCGACGAAAAACGTAACATTATTAACAATACAATGCAAAAAGTTTTATAAAAATTCGTTCACACTAAATTAATTCCGAGGTTTGTATCCTATAAGGGCTTAAAGCACTCCACTATATATGTTTTCTGCGAAGTGGTATGGTCGGTATTGTTAACATTTTAAAGTAACTTATTTTTAAATTTCCGGTATATCGGGTATATCCTTTGACATTAGTATGTACTGTGTATCTACCTTAGACGACCTTGTTTAACAGTCTCTCCAGTATTTCACGTGTGAATGAATGAATATTCTTCAGGCGTGTCAAGCATTTTTAATTATTATCGATCCATTGTTTGCCCCAGTGCCATCAACACATTATACTTTTAAAATGCTTGTGTGCGAGTCTTGTACAGGGTGTCCCAGAAATAAGTGCAAGTATTTTAACTGGTGGTACAGGGTGTTACATTTCAAAAAATACAACTTTGATATTTTATATTTGGGACACTTTGTACTTTTGTAAATTTTGTACCAGTATCCCAAATACACCTTTGTATTTGGGACACTGGTACACAGTTACAAATAATTTTAAATTTTTGTTTTAGTAAGCTTAGATGCCGTTTCCACCAATAAGTGCTATCCCTGTATATTATAAATTTTATGTAATCATGGTTTATTACCGTGTTTTTCTTTTTTTTAGGACATATCAGTGCTGTATTTATTTACAAATGGAAAGGTGAAGAATTAATAAAACTGTCGCAAAATGACTCAAACGTTTACGTACACGTTACGATGGCAGCGCATTCTTCTAAACCAGCAAGTATTAATCGGTGAGTTGCTTCATTATACAGGGTGAATCTTAAATAAGTGCAAATTCGTTTCGCGAAAAAAGTTTTTGGATTTTTTTTAGTTTTTAGTTAAAAAACATAATTTCTTGATTATATGGCAGCATAGGTACATAGTAGATTAAATTTACAAGAAAGAAAGCCCAGAAAGATCCAGTGGTTCTCAAAATTTAAACAAAAAATAATTTTCTTTTGGAAATTTTGGACTTATTTGAAAAACGGCAAAGAGAAAATATGTTTCATTTATCGAGATCTACCAGCCGTCAAAATATTTGCAATTATTTAAGACTCACCCTGAATATATGGAAATATATAAATTCTGTCTGTCAGAGAGGTGGTCAAGTTAGTATTTTACGCAGACATCGAAATTACTGTAAATACAGTACTATCGAAAAAAAAACGGCGTCCAGTTGCTTGGAAATGACAGCAATCTTCATTTCATAGCCATCGTCTGTTTTTTTTTTCGATCGTACGGTACAACTTAGCTGTGAAATAAAATGACAGACAAAAACTGTCACTGTCTTAGTGTGGGGTTTGGGGTTTATATATACATCGGTCTTGTATCGCCTGTCGTTGATTTAATTGTTCAACCGTTTCAAATATCATGATCATTTGCGTGATTCGTGAATCGTGAACATGAACATATGTAAAGATTCAGAGTTGTCGAAATACCAAGGTAGAATAGGTTAGCTAAAACTGCCATTAAACCAATACATTATTTCCGCAATTTCGCTTTCTGAACGCGAGTGGCGACTTCCCGTTTCGAAATAATAAAGCAGTAAAAATAAAAATCAGGAAAAGTCGTTAAATATAATTTTAGTCAGTTGGCAACCTTGGACAATCTCATATACGTTGCTTGACCGGTTCAAATCGTGAAAGACAAGCACGCGTCGGACAACTCTCGTGCAACCCAAACTGAATGCGTAAACCAGTCTTGATTTCCTTGTTTTGTAAATAAATAAAACGCGTTTACAGAGCCGTATTTGCCCAACACAACAAAAGTTACCATTACTATACAGGGTGAGTCTTAAATAAGTGTAAATATTTTCAAGGCTGGTAGATCTCGATAAAAGAAACATATTTCCTCTTTACCATTTCTCAGATAAGTCCAAAATAACCGAGTTATTTCAGTTTCAAAATTTAAAAAAAAATGATTTTTTTTGAAAAAATTTTGAGAGCCACCGTATTTTTTCTGTAATTACATCATCCCTTTTAGTTCCGTAACCATAGAGTAAAGCCGTAACTATGGTAATATCAGAGATTTTCAAGAAAGGTTTTCAAAAAATATACAGGGAAATTTAAAAGAAAATGCACGATTTTCAACATTCATATTTTTTTTGGTGAAAAAACCTCATAGACGTGTTCCTGGGGTCGAAATATACCACCCCTGAAAATATTTGCACTTATTTAAGACTCACCCTGTATATACTATTAGAAATACTGACGAATAAATCTATTTCAATAACTATCTTCTTGTTATAACTGTGTTTTTATAGCATGTCCATTGAATGAATCTAACTGGTTATTTCGCCACTGAAACAGGAAACTAAATGAAACTCATGACGGGCAAAACTGTTATTCCTTAATAACAGTTGAAACTGTGTTTTTGTTATTTACACAGGGTGTCAGAAAAATAGCGTTTCTAACTTTGGTCGGTGGTTCTACAGATAAAAATAAAATCAAAATTCCTATGAATATACAGGGTGGTCCGAACTGTATTCCGGAAACTTCGGCAGCCTGTTCTGTTGATAAAAATAAGTAAAAAAGTTCGTATAAATGTATGTCCTAAAATGCTTAGTTTCGGAGACACAGGATGTAGAAGTTTCATTTTTATATCGATTTTTTCCAAATAATTTCTGAAGTAACGTCAATTTTTGGATAAAAATTGGTGTCTGGGAGTTTGTTGATATGAGAAATTTGATTTTGAAGAGGGCGCCACCTACATATTTTTGACTAGTTTGAAAAGTAATAACTTTTTTTCTTTATTTCAGGACTTCAGTTTTATTTGTTTCTATAACTTTCATAGTTCTGATGATAATTTCCCTAACATGGCTAGTATTTTACTATGTTCAAAGGTTCCGATATATTCGTACAAAGGATAAGTTAACAGTAAGTATTAAAACTTTCTTATTTTGTTTTTATTCGAACTCGCTGAAAAATGTTTCTATTTTAATCTATTTTAGTCTAAATTAGTTAAAAGTCAAATATTTTCAGGGTTGGTAGATCTCGATAAAAGAAACATATTTCCTATTTACCGTTTTTCAAATAAGTTTTTTTGAAAATTCCCAAAAAAATATTTTTTTTTGATTAAATTTTGAGAACCACTGTATCATTTCTGGGTTTTCTTTCTTGTAAGTTTAATCTACTATCTATGTTGCTATATTATCACGAAATTATAAAAATCCAAATTTTCAAAAATGTTTTTCGCGACTCAAAAAAAACCGCATGAACATGGTGTTTCTGGGGTTGAAATATACTACCCCTAAAAATATTTCGACTTATTTAAGACTCACCTTAGTATAACCTTGGATCAACATGAATAATCTTGTATTGTTAAGATTTTTTATTATTTAGAGATATTTTACTATACTAAAATGTAATATGATTGATAAATTGTTTTGTTCTAGCGAAAATTGGGGTGCGCTGCCAAAAAAGCATTGTCAAAAATACCAACAAAAGTTGTAAAAAACAATGATAAGGTAAGTTCGTCGGCAACCGCTACTTTTTAAATTTTATATTTAGTTTTTCTTTTGTACGTGTTATTTTTCTTATTTATAGGAAGTTCAAGGTGATGGAGAATGCTGCGCCGTCTGTTTAGAACCATATAAAACGAATGATTTACTAAGAATTCTGCCATGTAGGTGAGCAATAGCTAGTTTTATATGAATTATTTTATATACAGGGTATCCCACTTAAGATGGATACAAGCCAATATCTTGGTTGTTTGTTGAGCGATCTTTTTCAATTTTGGCAGGAGGCTGTATGACTATAAGACGTACATTTTGACCAGGGTAAGAAATGCGATAGCTCATAGACGTACGTTTTAATGGGGTTTGATATTTTTCGAATCAAGAGTAAACTACCCTTAGGACAGTATTTATTTCAAATCTGATAAATTATATTGAATCCTCCATACCTAAGATACTTAAGTAGTCGAATTAAGTTTGGTCGAAGATGTTGAATTTTAGTTCGTTATAGTTTTATAAATCTTTGTTTAGAGCATATTTTTCAAAGTTAATAGTGATTGTTTTAAATAACTATTTGGATTTTTTAAATATTCCCCAATAAAACGAATAAAAATCATATTTCAGATTCCATTGAAAACTGGGTTTTTAAATTATTTTGTAACTCATTTTATTCATTTGTATTAGCAAACTTAAAAAACAATTTTTAAAGTAAACAAAATAAATTGAAAATTTTTAGTTTTTTTTGTATCGTATCTTAATTATTATGGAAGCTATCTGCAAACTTCGAGTATTAATAATTGATAATTGGTTATAATTGGTTATTGATAATAAACCAGTTGTTTATCCAGTGGCGTCGTAAATAAAAAAATAATAAAATAATAAAAATAAAAATGTCTTATTTTAATAAGACACTCTGTATAAATATTTATCAAAATTAGAGTATCTTGGGTAAGGAGGATTCAATATAATTTATCAGATTTGAAATAAATACTGTCCTAAGGGTAGTTTACTCTTGACTCGAAAAATATCAAACCCCATTAAAACGTACGTCTATGAGGTATTGCATTCCTTACCCTGGGCAAAATGTACGTCTTATAGCCATACAGCCTCCTGCCAAAAATGAAAAAGATCGCTCAACAAACAACCAAGATATTGGCTTGTATCCATCTTAAGTGGGACACCCTGTATATGTACAGTTTATTCGACGTCCAAGATGTATCAAACATAAACAAATATCTCCAAAAAAATAATATCCTATATGGGTGTTTCTCCACTGCAAAAAATCTACAAAATAAAATAATTATTTTTTGTAAACACAGATATACAGATATGCAAAACGTTTCGGAAAGTTTATCTCTTTCCGTCGTCGGAAACAAAAAAATACAAAGAATAAAGAAAAAAAACTATTTAATATTTAAATTCAACTATTCGAGAACACTTTAGTTTTCTAAAACAGGTGCGTCTACAAAAACGGTTGACGTTCTGGTAAAATGACATTATACCCCCAAGTTAAACTTCAAAATTAACAATTACTACCTGATAACAATTACTTAATAAGGTAAAACCAAAAAACCCCGAACTTTCTGTATGATTATTTTTAATTTTTACGTATGTTATGTTTATTTATGTTATGTTCTTTAAAATCAAAGAAGCGATTGACAAATTGCCATACATTACTAACATCTACAGATGCATGAGCAATACATTTATTTTTATTAGATTGTATTAAAAAAGCCTCTTTTATTTTCCTTTCAGAGGCTATCGCTTCTTTCATTATAATTTTGGCGTTATTAAAATTTATTCTGTGCCCTGCGTCCCACGAATGCTGACAAATCTTAGATTTGTGAAAATCTCCCTTTTTTAAATAATCTTTATGTTCTTTAATTCGAACATTTAAGGGTATAGATGTTTTACCATGCCCACTTTTACATATTTTCTTTTAATCAAAATATTTTAGGAATCGAAAATAAATTAATTATAAATATACAGGGTGTCATTGAAATGGTGTAAAAAATCGGGGGGTGATAGTACTCCTAGATATAGTAAAAAAAGTTCCTATAAGTATAGGGCGGAAAATGCATATCAAGCAAGGGAGTTAGGGGCACTGAAAGGGTGAATTTAAAAAACGGTTGTTTTGAAATTGTAGACTTAAAAACGAGATAAAATTTCGTAAAAAATCCTCTGCCATAAATTTTGACCCTAAATCAAATGGTGATACTGAAAAATTATTTGGAAAAGCGGAAAGGGTAGGGGGTTGTTTCGTGAATAAGTTTTTTGAAGTTATTTTTTTTGCAACATGGATTCATTTTTTGAAAACTACATACTTTTTCTTACAATAAAGGTACTCTTGTTGCACATCGCCCAGACCGATGGTTTTCGAGAAAATTGAAAGCAAGGAGTTTGCTCTGATGGATTGCTAACTGGTTAATCAACATGAACTTATGAAAGTTATGGCGGTTCAAAAGTAACCAAGTAGTTATCAAATAATTAATTAAAAAATCAAAATTTCATGATTTTTAAAACATCTTATTGCTTTAAAAAACGAAATAATCCAATTACCAAAAATCCTTATTAAAATAATGCATTCCTTAATTCATTCATAGTAAATGTTCAAAGTGACCACCATTCATTTCAATGCAGATATCTGATCTTCTTCTCCACGACCTGCGTACCCTGTGGAATATCCTTGGTGTTTGTCTTGGTTGAAAAGTTATGGCAGTTCAAAAGTAACCAAGTAGTTATTAAATAATTAATTGGAATATCAATATTTCATGATTTTTAAAACATCTTTTTGCTTTAAAAACAAAATAAACCAATTACCAAAATTCCTTATTAAAATAACGCATTCCTTAATTCATTCCTAGTAAATGTTCAAAGTGACCACCATTCATTTCAATGCAGACATATTTGCTCTTCTTCTCCAAAATCTGCGTACCCTGTGGAATATCCTTGGTGTTGTCCGAATTTGATTGGAACAGTCAATAATGCGTTGCCGTAGTTGCTCTTCAGTATTAATCGTCACTAAGTAAACCAAATTTTTTTTAAAACCAAAAAAGTTTATTTCGTTTTTAAAGCGATAAGATGTTTTAAATATCATGAAATTTATGATTTTCCAATTAATTATTTAATAACTACTTTCATAACATAACTTTCATAAGTTTATAGGTCTGTTCTCAGAAGAATCCCTGACTAGTCAGCACGTTTTTTATTGGTTAAAATGCGTAGAAACCTGATTGTTAGTCTAGTTTCTACACATTTCAACCAATAAGAAACGCGCTGACTAGTTAGGGATTCTTCTGAGAACAGACCTTATGTTGATTAACCAGTTAGCAAACCATCAGAGCAAACTCTATGCCTTCAATTTTCTCGAAAACCATCGCTCTGGGCGATGTGAAACAAGAATACCTTTTTTGTAGAAAAAAGTATGTAGTTTTCAAAAAATAAACCCACGTTGCAAAAAAAATAACCTCAAAAAAGTTATTCGCGAAACAACCTCCCACCCTTGCAAAAACTACCCTTTCCGCTTTTCCAAATAATTTTTCAGTATCACCATTTGATTTAGGGTCAAAATTTATGGCAGGGGATTTTTTTTCGAAATTTTGTCTCGTTTTTTTAAGCCTACAATTTCAAAACAAGCGTTTTTTAAATTCACCCTTTTAGTGCCCCTAACTCTTTTAATATGCATTTTCCACCCTATACTTATAGGAACTTTTTTTACTATTTTTAGGAGTACTATCACCGCCCGATTTTTTTTACACCATTTCAATGACACCCTGTATAAACAGTTATGATTTACATCAACAAAACTCACCTTCTTAACAGCACTTAAATGGCATAACAGGCCATTACTATCGCTTTCCCGTTCAAAATATTCTAATACAGTTGCGATGAGTTTTTTACGGCTGTTAAGCCATCTTGTACACTTCGCACTAAAAGAGATTCTAAAAAGAACAATGTTCGACTGCAAGGTCTGCTAGTAAACATTTTTAAGCTTAAAGTATCACAACACTATTTATTTAAACCAAAAACTCGTAATACAAAATTAAAGTGCCAAAACGAATGACAATGTCAGGAAGTAAATAATTAATTTTGGCAACTTTTTACAGCAGAGCTACCACCTGAATCCCCAGCGCGAAATTTAAATTCCAGTTAGTCAGTTCGGCGCCAAATATGTCCATGGTTGGCAACAGTGAATTTAAAAATCACGTCCTCGATTACGTAACCAAATTTTGGTGCATCTTGGCGTTGAATAAACTCTAGATATTGTTCACCACAACTGAAATATTTATTTTCAGACATGAATTTCACAAACCATGTGTAGATCCTTGGCTGTTAGAGCACAGAACATGTCCGATGTGCAAAATGGACATTTTAAAACACTATGGTTTCGTGGTCAGTAGTAATGTACCTTACAATCCAGAGACTTATATTTTCTAGACACTTATTAGGAGTAGGATAGTTTTTTTAGGGCAGCGTGGTCGTGGTACTGTTGCTTATTTTTGGAAGTTTCCACCACCTTATTGCTTACTTTTGCTGTGATAATTACTTAAACGATATTTTGATCAAACTCTGTAAAGCACAAACAACATTCCTATTCGACTGCAATGGTTGAATAATGGCACTGCCTTTTCACTTTTTTCTGAGGATTTTATTTTTCTCGTTCGGGGTGGAGGTAATTGAAATATATATATTTTCTTTAGCTTTATCTTTCTTTCGCTTTGCTTTTCTTATTTAGTGCTAATTTACTAACAACACCATCTCGTTAGTAAGAAATATTATTTACTCCAATATAGCAACGTCAGAAAAACAAGTATTTTAAGACGTCTGGCTCTTTGATATATCTTTTACTATGCTCTCTAGAACAGCATGCTTTGGTTGGCACCGGTTTGGCTGCCGGTGTAAACGTTGCGTTTCCTACTGCGCATTGAAAGAAGATCCTATATTTTTATTAGTCCTTTAAATTCTAGTATTGAATATAAATCGAACATGTCCCCATAGCACAGTGCGTAGTTTCCGACCACGAACCGATGATTCGAGTTCGAATCCGAGTCAGGGCAAAGACTTTTTTATTTAATTTTCGTTTATATTCTGATACTAAAGTATTAAATATTTGTTTTTTTAATTACCACAATTATTTAATACTTTACTATCAGAATATAAACGAAAATTAAATAAAAAAGTCTTTGCCCTGACCCGGATTCAAATTCTGAATCATCGGTTCGTGGTCGGAAACTCTACGCACTGCACTATGGAGACATGTTCGATTTATATTCAATACTAGAATTTATAGAACTAAATTAATAAAAAATATAGGATCTTCTTCCGATGCGCTGTAGTAAACGCAACGGGTATCGGCAGCCAGACCGGCCGCATGCTGTTCCAGAGAGCATAGTAAAAGATATATCAAAGAGCCAGACGTCTTAAAATACTTTCTCGAAAACGTTACTAGCTCTACTATAGTTACCTGTACAAAGCAGAATCATTTTCTCTTGTATTTCACATAAACAAATTCGGGAAGCTTTAGATGTTTATGCACACAATAGTACGGCATAAAAATTTGAGTTTTGAATTTTGTTTAAGTAAGTACAGGGATGTATTTCAGGAAAATATTTTAACTTCTGAACAGGATGGCTCAAAAAAGTGTGAATGGATCGGGATGATATTTTTTAAATGGAACACCCTGTATTAGTGGCGGATACAGAGGGGGGGCCCATGGGGCCCGGGCCCCCCCTGAAATCTGTAAATTGTGTTAAATATTAGGCTTTTTGGTTAAAAATGACGCCCTAAGAAGCACATTCTACATTACTTTTTATTTTGGGCCCCCCTAAAATAAATTCCTATATCCGCCCCTGCCCTGTATATTATTGCATTGTTGGCTTTCTTTCAGATCACTTTACATAATGCTAAGATATGAGTAATAGATTTCGATACTGTCAGAGATTATTAATAAATAAATAAAAAATATATATCTTTCAATCTTCCTTAAAAAAAAATATTACAAATAATACAAGAACTGTCCTAAAATCAAAACTATATTACCTAGATTAGTTTACTTTAGATGGTCTATACTTGCTTAGCTATAAATATAGTAATCTTAAATCATACAGGGTGGTCAAAATTCTACGCCAAACTAACCCCCCCCCCTTTCTGCAATATAAAATAATTTTTCTTGTTCCCTGTATGGCTCTTTCAACGGTAAAATACGAGAGAAAATTCATGGGGTGGTTTTGATAAACATTTACTGTGGAAAATGCCATATATAAAACCGCGAATATCTGCAAAACCGTTAGAAATTTTGAAATACTCTAAATACAAAAAATGTTCATTTTTTAATTCTCCATCTATTGAAAAAATAATATACTGGGTGTTTTATTTAAAAAAGCGAAAAAAAAAATTTATATTTTAGAAAGTTTGGCGTAGAATTTTGAACATCCTGTATGATTTGCGATTACCATATTTATGGCAAAGTAAGTACAGATCAGTAAATACCTAATATAGTTTTGATTTCAGCACAGTTCTTGTATTTTTAATATTTTTATTAAGAAAGGCTGAAAAATATATATTCTTTTTGTTTATTTATTAATACCTCTGAAACTATCGAAATCTATTTGCTCATATCTTAGGATTATGTAAAGTGATCTGAAAGGAAGCAAAAATTCAATAATATACGGGGTGTTCCATTTAAAAAAAATAGTCCTAATCAAAATACATCCGTCTACATACTTTAGGTTTGCACTTAAACAAAATTCCCAAGTTTTATATTCTACGAGTTACAGATGCCCGACACACTATTGCCGGACCCTGTATATAACATATCACCGCTCAAATAAATTATTAGTATCATATATTATTTGCTTATTTTTTACTAGAATTGATAAAATAATATATATTATAACAACAAATACTACGCAAGCTATATTTACTTCTTCTAAATTTTAATGTCAGATATTGATAATTCTATTTTTAAAATTTAACTATACAGGATGTCATTGAAATGGTGTAAAAAAAATCGGGGGGTGATAGTACTCCTAAAAATAGTAAAAAAAGTTCCTAAAGTATAGGGCGGAGAATGCATATTAAGGGAGTTAGGGGCATGAAAGGGTGAATTTAAAAAACGGTTTTTTTGAAATTGTAGGCTTAAAAAACGAGATAAAATTTTACAAAAAAAATACTCTGCCATAAATTTTGACCCTAAATCAAATGGTGACACTGAAAATTATTTGCAAAAGCGGAAAGGGTAGTTTTTGTAAGGGTAAGGGGTTGTTTCGTGAATAACTTTTTTGAGGTTATTTTTTTTGCAACGTGGGTTCATTTTTTGAAAACTACATACCCTTTCCTACAAAAAAGGTATTCTTGTTGCACATCGCCCAGAGTGATGGATTTCGAGAAAATTGAAGGCAAAGAGTTTGCTCTGATAGGTTGCTAACTGGTTAATCAACATAAATTTATGAAAAGTTATGGCAGTTCAAAAGTAACCAAGTAGTTATTAAATAATTAATTGGAATATCAATATTTCATGATTTTTAAAACATCTTTTTGCTTTAAAAACAAAATAAACCAATTACCAAAATTCCTTATTAAAATAACGCATTCCTTAATTCATTCCTAGTAAATGTTCAAAGTGACCACCATTCATTTCAATGCAGACATATTTGCTCTTCTCCAAAATCTGCGTACCCTGTGGAATATCCTTGGTGTTGTCCGAATTTGATTGGAACAGTCAATAATGCGTTGCCGTAGTTGCTCTTCAGTATTAATCGGTACTGAGTAAACCATAGCTTTGTTACTTCGTTTTTTAATGCAATAAGATGTTTTAAAAATAATGAAATTTTGATTTTTCAATTAATTATTTGATAGCTAATTGGTTACTTTTGAACCGCCATAACTTTCATAAGTTTATGTTGATTAACCAGTTAGCAACCCATAAGAGCAAACTCTTTGCCTTCAATTTTCTCGAAAACCATCACTTTGGGCGATGTGCAACAAGAGTACCTTTTTTGTAGAAAAAAGTATGTAGTTTTCAAAAAATGAACCCACGTTGTAAAAAAAATAATCTCAAAAAAGTTATTCGCGAAACAACCCCCTATCCTTGCAAAATCTACCCTTTCCGCTTTTCCGAATAATTTTTCAGTATCACCATTTGATTTAGGGTCAAAATTTATGGCAGTGGATTTTTTTTCAAAATTTTATCTCGTTTTTTAGCCTACTATTTCAAAACAACCGTATTTTAAATTCTCCTTTTCGGTGCCCCTAGCTCCCTTAATATACATTTTCCGCCCTATACTTATAGGAACTTTTTTTACTATTTTTAGGAGTACTATCACCCCCCGATTTTTTTACACCATTTCAATGACACCCTGTATAAAACGTCAATTTTTACTGTGTATCATAAAATAATAAAATGTATGGCAATGTAAAAAAATTATGATACTATTTTGCGTTGTTTGTTACCAATGTGTATAATGTCAATATATTTTAATTTAAGCTAATATTGTGGCTAGACTACTATCATGGAATTTTTAATTGTATATCTCCTAGTTGTTTTAATATATATTTTGGCATCTAACAATAGGCTATTAACATTTTTTCTCTAGCAGATTGTATAAGACAAATAAACCAAACTCATTTGAAAAAATAATAAATTGTTATAACATGTTGTAGTTTACTGGAAGCCAAGAAAGTATACTTCAAATTGATGGAATCGCTGATCATATTATAGAAAATTCGAATGCTAGTCAACCTCTAAGTCCACGAGGAGGTGGTATAAGTCCAATGCCAGAAATAAGGGCCATTGTTATTACAAATCAACAGGTACTATTTTATTCAATAACCCATAAATAAATACCTTAGTTTTTTGCATCTGAGGGTGCTAGGTGAGGGTGTATTCCGTTGCTTACCTTGATTATGGTTTTATGTTCCGTTTCTATCGGTTTCCTGAAAGTTTTCTTATTACGGAACACCGTTCCTGAAAAAATCGGTTATAACTGTCACCAAACTAACCAGCACGAGAAGGCTAGTTTTTCTGGTTTTGTGACAGAAATCAAGCAAATATCGAGTGAAATTCTCATTTTATTTCTAAAATTTGTAATAATATTTTGTATTTACATCCAAAAGCAATGGAGGGTAGGCAGTAACGGTAAATTTCATTAACTAAGTAGAATTACTTTTAGGACCATTTAAACTTATCATGCAGCCATTGTTTCTTAAAGTCAGGAACATTTAAAGAAAACATGAAAAACAAGACAACAAGTAATGGTGAATATTTTGTAAGCTATAAAAACATAAATATTGATTAGATTTGTTTATTTATTATTGATCTGTTTTAATATTGGATCTGCAAATCTTCACTTGACCTGTCTAACGAGTTTAACAGTTTATTAATAAAGTACTTTTCAATATTAAACTCCCTTGAAAAGAAGAAGCAAACGTAAAAGCAGAGAACCTGAGAGGGTACCTACATTAAAAATGCATAAAAGATAAATTTTATAATAGAGGTATTGAAATTTAGAAAACGTCAACATTTGACGTTTCCAGTATTTTACCAAACCGTTCTCTATCAAACCGATGTTTTTCAGGAACCGTTCTTTACCGGTCTGGTTCGCCTGGTTTTGCAACGGAATACACACTGAGTGTATTAAAAAAAGAATAGGTGTTTACAATTATTGTCAAATTAAATATTTTCCAGAGACAGTGTCTGTTTGATAGCTCTGGCGATGAAGACAACAGTAGAGCGTCCACGCCAAACGAAATGACGCCCAGTTTGATGCCAAAGACTGATTTCCATCCGACCCGAATGACCGCAGTACCTCAGGCAGTACCTCAGCCGTCGACGTCACAGTCTCAAAAAGACGACGTATGCGTTACTTGCGGAGCCCCACGTGACCTACAGCAGCCCTCAACATCAAAAGCGGTCACGAGTCCAAAAACAAACCATTAGTCAAAATATGTTTTTTTATCGGTACGGTGTTAAATGAGTGCTTTAATATGAATTAAACGAACAGAAACTAATTAGTGTTAATTGCAACGAGGAAGAACACTTATAGACGCTCAGTATAGTTCGACCCTCGATGATATACAGGATGACCCAGAAATAAGTACAGATATTTTTAACTGGTAGTATATTTCGGCCCCACAAACACGCCCTTGAGGTTTTTTTTTGTGAAAAAAAATCTGAAAATATTATATTTTTCGGGATATTTTAAAAAACTTTTTAGTGCCACTTGTTTATTCACCTGAGATTTCTCTACGGTGTATCTAAACCTTGCAGTGTTGCCACCTCCTACATTATCCATATTCAAAGTGTTATTTGTATTCACTGTAATTTTAAATTTGTACACAAAAAATTACGAGTATTCTAATCATATCAGTGTCTATTACTAACAATTCTAGAAACAAACAACATTACAACAAATTATTTTTACGCATACCATACTTTTATATTAATTTTTTATCTACAGTTAAAAAAAAACTCTTAACATTGCCATATTACGAAGTACTTTTAATTAAAAAAAAAACATCCTGTTAAATATTTTGATTGTACAGTACGTTTGTCTGTTCTGTAGCTACGGGGTATCCGTGAGAGGGGAAACGATATTCTCCCGATGTTTTTCGTAAAAAATTAGATGACGCGTCCCATCAATAAAAATTCGACAAATTTGCAAGTAGCCAATAAAATGAGTGGGCGGAGCGATTTGCGGTGACGTACTCGTCAAGTCGACGTATAAAATGTAATGCTGTTTATTTAAATGTTTTTTGTCCGCATTCCTTTCATAGACACAGATCCAGCAGACGTACTTTACTTACCCTTTCAATGAGAACCAAACTGGGTAAAGTTATTCTTATAGGTTTACGAAATTCATGGTTATGCCGCAAAAAAACTAAAAAAAATTCCGCGAAAAAAATTCATAGGCGTGTTTCTGGGGTTGAACTATACTACCAGTTAAAATACTTGAACTTATTTCTGGGATACCCTGTATTATGATCTAGGAACACACATAATCGATTTCTAATTTTGACATTGACCGATATCCATAAATAAAATTACAACAAAAAATTACAATTACGCGAAATAATGTGTGAATGAAAATGTACAATATATGACGTAGCATTGAAAGATCGTTGATCAAACTATACTACAGTGTTGTTCATCGGAATGTGTTCCTTGTGAGGAATTGCAAAGTGATCTAGTATTTTTTTACCCCCCCCCCCAAAAAAGAAGTAAAATGGCGACCACCATGTGAAACATTGCTAGGCAATTTTTCACTGGAGTTTGGATAACGCTGACTTACTAGTCATTTAAACAAAACATTGTATAATAAGTTTTTACAAATTTCATTTTTATCGTATGTTTCCTTTGTTTTAACCTATATTATTTAAGAGAAATTCAAGACTTTGTAATTATAACTATAAGTAGGTGTATCTCAGTTCAAACAGATTTATATTTTATTTCTATAAAATTTCATTGTAATATAATTTCGATGTACTTATTTTTACTAAGATTTTATTAAAAAAAAATATCGTGTCGTGTAGCAGTACAAACATTTAACTTATTACGAAAAAAGCCAAAGCAATGGAGCGACTTTTTGTTATCACAAATTAATTTAATTTTGCTTGATCACCTTTTTTGCATTTTATATGTCAGTATATAGCCATTTTATATGTCAAGTAAATATATCTATATATTATTATACTCTACTGTAATATATGTACTCCAAGAGATACCGTATGATCGAAAAAAAACAGCGTACAGTTGGCTTGGAAATGACGATCGATGACATTCTCCATATAATTTTATACATAAAATGACAGCGATCTTCATTTCATAGCCATCGTCGACGCCGTTTTTTTTCGATCATACTATATTTAATGTTAGATACTTACATATAACTAGATACATTTTAAATTTACAGTCAATCAGAATTTATTGTAGTTTTTACCTGAAAATATACAGGGAGTCCAAGAAATAAGTGCTAGTATCTTAACTGGTAGTATATTTCGGCTTCAGAAACACGCCTATGAGGATTTTTTTGCGAAAAAATTTTTTGAAAATTTGGATTTTTTTTTAGTTTTAAGTTAAAAAACTTAATTTCTGGATAATATGACAACATAGGTAGTAGGTTAAATTTACATGAAAGAAAATCTAGAAAAGATCCGGTGGTTCCCAAAATTTTAGCAAAAAATATTTTTTGGAGATTTTCAAAGTAAAATAACTCGGTTATTTTTGTCTTATTTGAAAAACGCTAAAGAGAAAAAATGTTTCTTTTGATCAGATCTACCACCCTTAACTACTTGCACTTATTTCTGGGACACCCTGTATAAAAGAATTTTCCTATAATGAGCGGAACATATTTATGTGGTTTATTGCGTAACAAACTTGTAGCATAAATATTTTCTCGATTTATAGAAAAAATAAATTATTATTTTCTATCAATATAATTAATTTAACTCTCAATAAACTAAAATAATCAAAAATATAAATTCTGTTTTCCAGTTTTATATAAAAGCGTTGATTAAAAGAATTGTGACGATGCGCAACCTAATGGGCAAATTCGTGACAAGGCTGATTTGATTTCCACTTACGTGTCAAGTGCTGTACGGTGGAGCCACCAATCGTTCTGCGACCAGCGCATAAAATACTTATTTTCTCTAATTCGACCGGCGAAGACATATCGAAAAAAATCGTTTGAATGACGATTTACCATAATATTTTACATAATATGAAATAACATAATCCAAGTCAATTCTGAGGCCGTTCTTTGTTTAATTATTGTAATCGCAAAACATTTTCCGATGCACGTCATAAAGCCTATAAATCTGACTAAATGAAATTTTGCCAAAAATGTTTAAAGTTGTTGTATAATTTAAGATACCGAGCAGCTTTTCATTTTACTTTATAGAGCAAAGATTGTAAAAGATATTTTATTTAGATTAAAGCTGCAGCCCGGTGGCGTAGAGGTACAGGCTCTCGTCTACCAATCTCAAGGTAGTGGGTTCGAATCCAACACCCGGCATTGCATCAGCCGTCTATTTTTATTAAAATAAAAATAGTTTGGGTACCTAGGTCGACTCAGCCTTAAATGAGTACTTGGGATTCACAATCCTGAGGTAATAATAGGTGGTTGAAGCGTAGTGCTAGCCACATTACCTTCCTTGTATACCGAACGGCTCTAGTATGCACGCTATATACGGGAGCTATTATTATTATTATTAAAGCTGCAAAAATTAGTTTAAACCGAATTTTATTATCGCTATGTTGGTCACATTGCGCCGTGTTCAGCAATGTTGTCCTTTATTATTTGACAATAATTATCCTAGTGTCAGTCATTATTTTGTATAATATCGTGTTGTTAAATCTTTGTAATTCTCTTTTTTTGCCTATTTTCATAGTATTTTTTTAAAAATGCACTTTTAAGCACAAACAGTCCTTTTAAGAACTAAATTTTCGAGTTTTTTTATTGCATTTCTTGAAATTTGTGTGTTGAAAATATGCATTTAAACAATCGAAGCAAAGAGCTTGTAGCTTTCCTGTTTTTTTTTAACTATTTTGAACGAGAACGTGACAATAAAGGTCCTTTATTACCCTTGACTGCAGTCAGAAAAGTAAGTTTGATTGATAAGCACATACCACTTTCAAAGTTGGTTTTTATTAAATTCTGTGATTATTACTTTGTGCATTAATAGCACCTTCATACTTGTTATTACCACTTACGGCGTTGTAAGATGTACATCAATAAGTAAATAACCCATAATAACGCTTAAAATAATCTTCATAATGGACTAGTTTTTGCCAATATGTAATAAGTAAAATAAGCTATAAAACAGATAAATCAATTAAACACTAAAAGATTAGTTATTAAATTAAAAATAAAAGTAAAATTCTTAAAAAAATGATATAATAAATATGTTTGTCAATTTTAAATTAAGATTTATGTCATAAATCCATCACAATCTGGCAGCGCTGTCGCCATCGCTTGTCACTCAAAGTTGACCACGTGCATCGGAAATTCTTTTGCGATTACTCATATATAATATTATATTAAATTGTTTAATGATAAAAAATCCGTATTATTAACGTACTGTACCCAAAATCCGTAAATCTACGGATTAATCCGTAGTTCTGGCAATACTGTCTCTACTCGCTGTAAACGAACCATCAGCGCGCAGCAGCAGCGCAGAGCTAAACGAAATCTCGGGCATGTTTTATGCCACGAAATCGCCCATAACGTTGCGCATCTTCTTATTTCTTCAATCGACGATAATAGTTTTTTTTTAATCAAAAAATAATAGTTAACCTTGTAAGTATTGTGATATACATATTATAGATTAATAGTGATTTTGAAAATAGGGGTGCTTAAAACTATACTTAATCTAGCAGTTAGTGTTAGTATTTTCTTGTTCTCGATATTTTCTATCTAGTAATAAGCCAGTAAGCGAGGGTTTTAGGGTCCGAATTCTGAACACCTGAGCCTGTACCGATTGACGTGAAAAATAAATCACCCATTTTAATTACAAAAATCAATAAAGGGATGAATTCTAAGCAAAAAATGTTCTATAACATTTTTTCAGAAAATTAATATTTTCCTAGTTTTTTAGGATCGAATATGTTTTCTGTCATTTTTTATAAATAACTCGAAAACCTGGCGGTTTATCGCCAAACTCGTATAAATCAAAAATGAAGCTAGGTGTAATAATAGCCGAGTTATCACTCTGTAAAGGTGATTTTTTATTTTTCGAAAACTAAATTGCAACATTTTACCGTAAAATAATGGCGAAACAACACATTTTTCGAAGAAAATGAATATTTAAAGTGCTGAAAGGCCTTTTAAATGCTTTTTTAAAAAAGTTCGCAACTCAAAAATTCGCGGAGTTATGATAAAAATAGAATGGAACCTAAGTTTTCCTGAAAAAAATCAATAACAAAATCTATGACCAAAATTATAAAAATAAAAACTAAGCGTAATACATGTTCAGTTGGCTATATTTAGATAATAACAATGGGCTCTGCAAGTTCGAGCAAGAATGCCTAAATTTGAAAAAAAGTTGTAAATAATGAAAATATTTTACTTTTATTTTTTAAAAAATTTTAATTTTTTTGACATATCTCAAAAACTAAGCAAGATACGTAAAAAATGTAACAAAGTAAAATTGAAGATCTTTTGCGCTCTTTCAATTTTTCTGTAGATCTCTTTATTTCGTAGATATTACGTTTTTCAGTTTGACTTGCGTGTGAGGACCCTTCTTTGAGCGCTTAAAACCCAAAAATCTCGTAAAAATGAAGAGTTCAGGACTGTTCAACTATAGAGGCTAATTTGTAGCTCGTGTAATTTCCTACAAATTGATAGTTTTTACTTTTATGATTCTAGTCATATATTTTGTTGTTAATTTTTTTTCCGAAAAAATGAGGTGACGATTTTACTTTTATCATAACTCCGCGAGTTTTTGAGCTACGAACTTAAAAAGACCTTTTAAAAAAGCATGTAAGAGGTCTTTTCAAGCACGTTAAAAACGGTCATATTCATTTTCTTCGAAAAATGTGTTCTTTCGCCATTATTTTACGGTAATAGCGTTGCAATTTAGTTTTCGAAAAATAAAAAAATCACCTTTACAGAGTGATAACTCGGATATTATTACACCTACGGTAATCAGCAAAAAATGAATCATTTAGTAATTCCAAAAGCTTCATTTTGGTTTATGAGTTTCGCGATATCAAAAATAATATATCAACATATTCAATCCTAAATAAAAATCAACATAAATAAAAATCACAACCAAACCAAACATATTCAATCCTAAATAAAAATCAACATAAATAAAAATCAACATATTCAATCCTAAATAACTCGGAAAATATTCATTTTCTGAAAAAATGTTATAGAATATTTTTTGCTTAGAATTCATCCCTTTATTGATTTTTGCAATTAAAATTGGTGATTTATTTTTCACCCCCGAGAAGGGGTGACACTCACCCCCAGGGTGAAAGCACACATCGCTACTATGTAACTTTTGTTTCTTACATATATTATCTATTCACTGTTAAAATGTCACATCAATCGGTGCGGGTGTCAAGAATTCGGAAGTAATACCCTATTCTTATCCTTGCTTACTGGCCAATAAGAACGTTTAACGTTGTTTTACGATCGCACACTGTATATTTGCCTTATTTTTAATTGTTAGTTAACTAAAAGTGCCTTACAATTGGTTGTTTTAAGAAGCAAAGTGTTATCTTCCATTTATTTGTAAAAATTGTTAAAAAAATGAGGTTTACTCAGTTGACCACTTTAGTTATGTTTAAAAGTTCAATATGTCTATTATTAAAATATTGTATTAAGCTGTATATAGTTAATGCTATTTTAAATTGACTGATTTAAAATAAACACGATTTTCGAACATATTGGCTTTAGTTTGTACCTTTAAAAAAAAGACTAAGGAAGGAGTATATTAGTGGGATCCTTGACAGTTCTGGTTGACAGTTCATTTGAAATTTTGTGGATTTGTCAGTCTTTAGTCTTTACTGAGCTTATGTCATTTATTATTTATTCTACTACTGATAGTGGTTTAAAAGTAGTAAGTCTAGAAGGAAATTGTGGCAGAATTTAAATTAACAGTGACACTATTGTGATTTATCGAAAAAGACTGTAAAATAATTGGTTGTGTAGCGTGCGGTAGAGTTCGGTTAAAAATCGAGGGAAATAATGGAATAACTTTTCGCTAGTAAGTGACTATATAATATACATACATGTAGAAAACCGATCATTTATGAAATTCACTTAAAATTAAATATTTATATATTTTTTTCTTGCATTTTTGCTTCTATTTACTACTTGTCAAAGATTAGACGTCAAAGAATTTAGATAAGCGAATTTGACTTACCTGCTTCAGTAGCGTATCGGATGTTTGTGTTAATAAATAATTATTATTAACGGAAAATAAATTTCTTGCAGTCTTTAGGTATATTATAATAAATTATAATATATTAACTATACATTTCAAGATTAATGTCTATATTTCCATTACAAAAAAATAATACAAAAAATCGGCTGAACATGTCGTTTTAAATTTTAGAAATTAATAGAAAAACAACCTGGTATTTATAACTACTAAACGTTTCCTAAGATATACATTTAGATATAAAAGACATATAAAAACTGACAAGAATTATAAAAAAAACAGTTGAGCAAACAACAAATGATTAATAATATTATTATTATTAATATTTAATAAAATTAACTAATATTTAAAGTAACTTTGTTGTATACATTTATACTGAAAAGAAAGTTTCTTACAATAAGACTTTAATTCACAGATAAGAAAATAGAGTAGTGGTCTTAAATCTACGAACATTAGTTGCGTTCATTAGATAGCTTTAACTTATTGTATTATCAAAAAAAAAAAACAGCGTCAAAGACGGCTATGGAATGACAATCGATAATAATTAATCATTTTTAAACACAAGTTTTATGTCAATTTTTAGTAAATGACTTGAGAGATAGTAAAGATTGATTTCGCCAAAATTATAATAGATTTCCCAGACGTTTATGACGCCGTTTTTTTTTCGATCATACGGTACTTGTATTTAGACGCTCGTCTTTTCCAATTAACAATTAATTTGAATATAAATTCTATGCTAGAGAAAAGCTAGAATAAAAAAAATAATAATAAAACGAAGAATTTATGATATAATATTATGAAGATACAAAATTTTAAAATTGTTAAATTTCTACCGCTAAACGAACTTTTTTCAGTAATTAATGAAAAAAAACTGAAAAGTCTCTAACAAGAGAGCATTTTTGGACGCAGAAAATTCAAGGTCCTTACAAAATTCAATAAGCATAGTTTATCTGTAAAAGCAAAAAAACGATTGTATGTATCAACAATCTATTGTAATGAATAGATATTTCAGCTGAATTTTACTTAGTTTTACAGTACCAACATTTTCATGTTGGTAATACAGGGTGTCCTAGAAATAAGGGCAAGTACAGAAACACGCACATGAGTTTTGTATTGCTTGGTATTTGGGGCTGATTATCGATTGCTCTCAAAATTTTGCCATTATTTTTTTAAATTTTCAATGTTAAATAACTCGGTTATTATCAATTTATTTTGAAAATTGTAAAGAGAAAATATGTTTTTTTGGCCAGATCTACCACCCCTTAGAATACTTGCACTTATTACTGGGACACCCTGTATAATATAACACTTTGCTGTGACACTTATGTTGTGATACCTAATACATCGCAAATAATGTAGTAATAGCTATTTTTTTAAGTAGCACAAAAAATGGTAACAAATGTTCGTAAATTTATTAAATTTCACTAAGACATACTTAGTGTTATAATTTTAATAAAAAAATGAAACTGAGGCTAGAATAGTATATTCCAATATGTTATTTCTTTATATTGTTTACGAAAAATAAACAGAAGGTTATACATGTCTTATAATAACATATAAGAAAATTAACATATTTTATACATAACAAAATATTGTTACATAACTGATTGCCTCCATTTCCTATCCTTTTCTATATATAAATAGTATATAAAAACAGCAAGTGATTCCTTACATTTCATAATTATAAATTTTACGTTCTACGTATATTATGATACAAATATCCAATAAATAAAATAATTTTTGCGCAATTTCAGCTCTACCTTCGCTCTGCACAGCTAAAAATACTCTAAAAAAATCTGCATATCACAGATTGTGAATTATTAATAAAATAAATGTTAAATCTAACCACTTAAAAACAATTAAGAACACGTGTTCATACTGTTCATTAATTTAATTAATAAAAATATTCATTTGATGTTTTTAAATGTAATCATCTACATTCACCGGGTTTCTTTTTTTAAAGCGAATATTCTCTTTTGGCTTAAAAATTGTTTAGGTGGCTCCTTAAAGTTAATTTAAATTGAATTTATAATTCACTCATACAATCATACAATCAGATGAAGAAAAAACGCAACGGAAAAAATTTCGTCAAATTTAAAGCATTTTTTTAACAAACTGTATATAAATATATCTACTTTAATTGGTAAACTCAGTTTTTTTTAAACTTTTGTATTTGGCTTATTATACAGCGTTAATAGAAAGATGTTTTTAAAACAAACCAAACTTTAAAACACTCTGAGCAATAATTTCGTGAGTAAATTTTTCTAAAACATTATTTTTTAGTCAGAACCATGACTCCTGAGCATTTTGTTTTTTGGCTCATATCAATACATGCCTTGGTTAATTTTTAAGAGCGAAATGAACTTGCCACCAACAATTTGCAATTTTTTTTTCAAATATGACTAAAAATTATTCCGTTGCATCATTTTTTTTTGCATCTGAACGTATGAAATAAATACCTACTTATCAATAAATACTTGGTATAAAGCCTGAGACTTCGTGCACGGTAAATTTTGAGCATATATAAAATTTCCTCTCTTTTTCATTCTCTTTGGCTTGGATCACGATTATGGGATGCTTACATATAACTTGCCTGTGGTTGTAGTACTTCAAATCAAAGTTTTTCCAGTTGGAAATGTGATAATAGTAGAGCTGAAAATAGTTATTTGTAGTACTAGTGTATTATCTTACATGTAAGTCACGCTGGGAAATGTTTACCTAATTTTCTCAAGTGACTTATATGTTATAACACGCGAGTGCCATACAAAATTTTATCCAACAGCATCCAATAATTGATTTAAAAAGATCTACCAGTTCTACTTTCATTGTTGCGAATTAATAAATTATCAGGGTGCGTTTATGTTACTATGCAATATAGATGTGCGTTTTGTTTTTTTTGTAAATAATAAATAGCACTGCTTTGTAGCACTGACATTAAGACGTCATTTAGATAAACCGTGATTTTTTAACGATAAAATAGTGAATTATCAACCAGCAAGTCAGATTTTAAAGAAAAATGATTCAGGAAGATCTTCCGCAAGAAATTATTAACCAGGCGGCTACAGCACAAATACTGCCAGAAAAGTCTCGCGGCGTATATGATAGGGAATTCAAGGCGTTGTTTTGCTTGCTTACTTCTTTGAACTACATATAGAAGAAATTTGTTCTATTATCCTTATCTTCATTTTTATTTAATGTTAATTTCAATAAATAATTGAATTAGTAATTTATGAATAATTTATAATTTATGTTGACAGTACTTCCATAATCTGGAATAGACAGCTGAATTCCGTCCTCAATTATATCAATTCACAAAATGACACGCCAGAAGAAAAGTGGTAAGGACAGTCTACAGCTTAAAAAAAATCGCCTGATTTAAATGAAATATGGTATGTCGATAGATTGGACCAAGTCCAGCTTGACCGTGTACGATACGTGTCACTGTGACAGTTAGTTTAAACGTAAGAAACGTCAATAGTTGATGTCGCCCGATCGCGACTAAATTGGGTGGGTAGGCTATGTGAGCGACGATGCACACGGTCCCATCCTGCAAAATGGGATACCAGTGATACCACGTTTCGTTTACATCTTCGTCAGGGTGGGACTAAGCATTTGATATTGACGGAAAATGTGGATCGATTTCAGCATAATTGGAAACGGGCTACAGGATGACGCCCTCGACGTTTCGAACCGATGCCTCTAAATGGACAAAATCATCAGAATTTTTCTTAATTATGGGTCGATTGGAACCAAACTCGGCACGTGGATAGAGGTACCCGAATGGAGTCCTCAGACGGACAAATTTTGTGAAAGTGAATGAAATTATTTATTAATTTTAAATTTATTACTTTTTCAATATTTCAAACTCTGAACTGATTTTTTTTTTCAAACATGTCCTTCAAATCCTCCAATTCAATAGCTGTTAATAGAAGTTTCACTTCAAATATATGCACTTAGTGCACATACAATTTTTTTTATTGTAAAAGGGGATCTAAATACATATTCTCCAAACTTACACTTCCAGAGTCAGTTCCTATAAGTAATGTGTTCCCATACAAAAAAATACACGTAATATTGCTTCTGAATATTTCCCACATATTAAACAATTTCTTACTGTGTCTCTTGTACTTATCAATAATTATTATTTCTACGTAGTCTTCAATAATATCAGGTTGAGACGTTTTATCTGAACCGTTATTTTTATCTAAAAAAATATGAAATGCAATGAAAACTATTCAACTTAGATAAATATATAACATTATACCGAATGGGTCTCAATGTGGCTCACCCCCTATAACTTTTTTATTTTTTCAGATAAATAAACGAGATTTGGTATGTTAGTATATGACATAAATTAGGATTGATTGGTGTATTCAATTGTTTTTGGTCACTTCCTGTTTCACCGGAAATGACTACAACTTTTGATTTTTAAATGGCACCCTCGGTATTTTTTTACTTTATTCGATTCTGAATAGCATGATATATTATATGTCAACTTATGACATTCTCGCTTATAAAAAATTGTATTTTAAAATTCAATCTAGAGTGCCATGGCTATGCTAAAAACACTAATTCTTCATCAAGGAGCCTTGGAAAAATAGATTTGATCGTCTAATGTTTTTAGTGTCTTGTCCTGGCCAGTTAGAAAATGCTCAAATCGTATTTTAATCATATCTCAATTTTTTCAAATGGAATGAGGGTGGCTCATTAGCATATTTGGAAAAAGCATTTTTTTACGAATAATTTGATACCACACACTTGGTATTTCAAATCAAATTTTCGTTACGAACCCCAAGTTATAATTTCAAATAAACTATATGCGACAATGTCAAAAGTTGACATATCATATGTCAATCTCATTCTATTCAGGGTGACATTTTCTATCGAATAAAGTAAAAAAATACCGGGGATGCCATTTAAAAATCAAAAGTTGTAGTCATTTCCGGTGAAACCGGAAGTGACCGAAAACAATTGAATACGTCAATCAATCCTAATTTATGTCATATACTAACATACCAAATCTCGTTTTTTTAACTAAAAAAATAAAAGAAGTTATAGGGGTGAGCCACTTTTGAGACGCACCCGGTATATAAAAAGTGGAATTTTCCGCAGAATCTAAAAATAAAATACAAAATAGGGTGTTGCATTTAAAAAACATATCTTATATTCGCCACACTTTATTGAGGCACCCTGTATACTCTATAGTAATTTTAAAATGTGTACCTTAACTGCCCCTATAACTTTTATATTTAATGTTTTATGCTAAACCTCGAAACAAATGAGATAATGGACTTTACTCTGTTGTTGACTCACCCTGTACAAGTAAACAAAATGTAAGAGTAGACCATAATACTTACAAACACTAATTATAACATTGTCCCTTAGAATCTGAGTTGTAGAACTATCAATAATTAGAGGAGCATAGAACTTAATATCTGTAATTCTTTGCATCTGTTCCATGGGTGTGATGTTAGGATTTTCATAAACTAGAGATTCTAGAATACTGTTTATTAAAAACGTGCATTTGCCGTTCCACATTTTATAACAAGTAATACACCCTGGAGAGTATATTCTTGTAAACCAAATCTCCTGAATTTCTCGTCTATCGTAATGATTGGTTATTTTAATTATCGTCATTCTCCCGCCAACTTTTTCATAGCAAATGTAATTGTTATAAACGCTAAAGAGAACGATCTTTAAACGTTAGTTTTCTAAAATATTCAATATTGTTACCTATGTGATATAATATCCAAAATATCAAATTGATAATTACGGATACCGTTAAATGCTACTATTGAGATTCCCTTTGGGTATGCAACAACCAAACACAGATCCAAATTATTTATATCATTATAATCGTTATCTAAAAAAATTTATGATAAAACAACTAAAGCATCTGACCGAGCAACTTACAATCTATAAACGTTAATTTTGTCAACTTAACTGCAACTATTCGATGTTCAAAAACTGGAGCCCAATGTTTGGTAAATATTCTTAGTCTTCCATCTTCTGAGCCAACGGCAATATGATCACCTAAATATAGATATGTATACGTTTGAATTTATTCTTTTAAAGTATATAACTTCATACTTGATACAGCTATACTGGAGATTTTTTGAAATTGCACTGGAGACAGTATGGGATTTAATATAGTAACATCTTCTATGGTTTCCCACGATGACCAATTAATATACATATAAAGCCACTTTTCTTTACCATACGCCTCATATTTAGGCAAATATTCAACCAGTTCTTCGGGATTTATTTCTTCTCTACAACACCACTCCCAAAGCCTTGTTTTCTGAAATAAACTTAATTTTCAATACATCTTTCTCCTCAGTGCAAGATAATTTGATCTTTATGAATATAAATAAGAGAAAAATTCAGGTGCATTTATTGGGACTGACGGAATTCATATTTACAGTCCAAATACTCATAAAAAATTCTCTATACCTCAGTTAAATAATCAATCGTGTCCCGTAGGCTCTTGCACGATTTTCTGGCAGTCAACAAAGTCTTTCCATCACATTTTAAAAGAATATGTTCTAGAATCTCCAAAGGGAATATCATTCTAACAAAAAATAGAATAAGTATTAAAAATTGAACAGGTCAAAATTATTTATTGCTGAACGTTTCACACAAAAGTATATTTAGAACAAAAACGCAACATCATGAACCATTTATATTTTCGTTCGGGAACTGCTTTTTATTTTATTTCCGTTTTCCACACAAAGCTTTCCCGACAATTGATAAATCTCCAATTTATTTTTAATTCTGTTTACCTTGAAATTTTCAACACACAAATAAAAACAACAGACAGCTGTTTTCTGTCAACCGCCGTTCGTAATAAGTACTCTATGGTGTATAATTCAGTTTTTTGCTGTGGTGTAGACACCACAGATTGTCATATATCATATATAATAAATAAAACATTTTCGAGATCCAGTCAAAAATCAACAATAACTAATAGGCCTGTAATAATTAAGTAATAATTTTCGATAAGTATAATTAATTATTTAATCAACTTGTTTTTTGATTACCTTGTTATTTTTATTTCAATGCCTGTGATCATATATTTTGATATTTTGATATATGATATGTAATTTTTCACTGCGCATGCGTATAGCTTGCGTCAAGAATCTACAGGTTGTCAATTTTTTATTTTTTTTTCAGTTCATAAATTTTCTTCGTTCGGTTGAGATATCGTCGAATTTTCAGAAAATGTAAACTCGTTCAGAAAATTATTATCAGTGATTTTAGTGATTGTTTAATGGGCAAAAATTATAAAACAACAATGGGAGTAGTGTTGCCTCCTTTGGAATTTACTGAGTGCCTCAGTGATAGTCCTTACTTTAGAGAAAATCTTCATAAACATGAGAGAGAACTCGAGAAGACAAACCAACAGATCAAGAGGATCATTAAGGAAGTAAAGGATCTTTTGGCAGCGGCAAAACGTAAGTTGTCATGTTTGAATTACGGGCACAAAATACAATGTAAAATGCGATTTGTGAAATGAAAAACATGTACTCAAAACCTTGACGTATCATTTTTTAAATGTTGTTTTAATGCTATTTCATTTTTCGATGTCAAAGGCACATTTAACTAGGTGATACAAGGTTGTTTTTTATGCGCTTCTATTCATTGCACTTATCAGCTAACTACAAGTATTTGAATGGTTCAAGGATTGTTATTAACTAGGTTTACCTACTATTATCCAAATTTAGACTCAATTTTTTCTTATAATTTTTTTTTCCAAAACAGAATGCTAATTTTAATCTAAAACAATCTGTACGATTATAGATATTGTTAATACCTATAATGTAAAAAATGCCCAATATGTAATTCTATATGTAAAGAAGGGTGTATTTTGTAATTTTACCTTTGTATTATTAATTGGTGTTTGCAAAATAATTTCGAAATTTTCACTTTATTTCAATTTCCTACCTATTTAATTAAATATAAGTTCTTATTATATCTTATCAAGCCACATTAGGTTTTTAAATTAATTGACAATTGGCCTCTCCGTTGGCCTTTTCAACATCATAACATGCTAATATCAAAGTTTACAGAATAAAATATAATATCTACATACTTACCTACTTACAATGTGATCAAAAAATTAATCTGTCAGAATCAAAATATACTTTAGGAAGAAGAAAATGAATGAAAGAAAAAAAGAAAAGAAAGGAAATTTAGTCCAAACATAAGGAATATTTTGTTGATGTTTGACTATCAAAATCTTCAAAATAAAGAAGTTGTCTAAAAATGTGCTACAATACGGATATAGTATAATCTCTTATCTTTAATTTCCTTTTTCATTTGTGTAAAAATACCTAGCCAGTTTTACATAAAACGTTAAATGCCGAACGCTTATTTAGCTTCTTTTTCGGACTAGTGCTAGTGAAATGGACTCAAGCTACTTAACTAAAGATTTTTCTGTTAGAAGAAACCATATATTTAATTCTTTACATAATTATTTTCTTTAGAGTTTATTCTACAAATTACCGGCACTAAATTAAATACCTAGGTAAGTTTTTTTTGATATACAAAAAGGAAGTTCTGTTAACAACAGAGAAAGTTTTAACCGCCCTACTATTGTTGTAACATTATAGGACATCAACAACACCATGACTTTATACGATGCGTATTATTGTAGCAACGATATCAGACATTAAAACGGTCAACGCTTAAAATTCACCGAGTGTACATCGTGATCCTAATAAGTCACTGTTGACCATTGTTTAATAATTTGTTCGACATAAAAAGCTATCACTCTTTTAATTAAAGAATGTAGAACTGGCTGGTACTTTGAATACAAAAACTAAGTAAGTACTTAGTCAAACGTACAGCCTCACTAACCTATTTTAAGAGTCCATTTCACTAGTCCGAAAAAGTAACAAAATAAGCGTTCGGTATTTAACGTTTTATGTAAAGCTGGCTTAAAGCTTCTTCATTTTTACACAAATGAAGAAGTAAATTAAAGATAAAGGATTATACTATATCCGTATTGTAGCACATTTTTAGACAACTTCTTTATTTTTAAGATTTTCATGGTCAAACATCAACAAAATATTCCTTATGTTTGGACTAAATTTTCTCGAAAATAAAGACATAATTTAAAATTCCGTTAGAATACGGAAATGGATTGAAGTTTTGTAATTACAGTGATATATAATTTTTATGGTTTTGTAACAAATTGCTCGCTATTTTATGGCAAATGCTGAAGCTCTGCAAATCTTAATCAAGCCTTAATCAAAGCACGTGTGTTTGGGATTTTGGATGTGGCTTGACACGAAAGGATCTGGCTAAGCCTTAGGCAGATTTCTGAAATATAATATATATTTCCTTTGGCCACACACCCGCTTTACCCGACCACTGAGAGCGACCCGAACAGTACAGCGTAATAGTCTAAGAGCTGGCTACATAAAAAACCCTCGAAAAAACCTTATCATCGTTACATGGCAAATTTTTTGTGTGAAGTATCCTTTTGTGTAGCCATTATGAAATAGTCCTGCCAGCGCGATCCCGGGGCTTAAAGCGGGGGCGGCCAATCGAAAGGGTGAAATTTTGACACTAAAAATATTATAAGATACATGAGTTATAATTGCGAAAATAGCTTTTATTTATTATTAAGAAACGTGGAAAATTGTTGGCAGACATTTTTCTAGTCGCTAAAATGCCGACAGACAACGCGAAAGAGGCATGAAATTTTAAAAGTTATTAAAAAATGAAATTTATTATTATTTTATTAATTATTATAATTTTATTATATTATTATTAAAAAAAAATTATGGCATATTTGCATGCCGATTGGTGAAATGTCATATTTACTGAGGTAAGGGAGCAGGGAAGCGAGGGGCATGTTGAAATTTGTTTGTTTAGGCTTTAAAATGTGTGGTCGCCGCACGGAGAAAAGGGAACTACATTGTACTTATTTATTTCGACGAGACCTTCATATAATCAAGATTGAACTTCACTTCAGGTAAGTTCGTTTAATCTTGTGATTATATTATAAATATATTTTTTTATTATTTCAATAACGATTTTTTTGTATGCCCTTTTGCATACGGCTTTTTTAAATTAATTAACAATAAACATGACATTCCACCAACCGACATGCATGTATGCGATGATTTTCTTTTGTCAAAATTCTATGCCTCTTTCGCGTTGTCTGTCGGCATTTCAGCCACGAGAAAAATGTCTGTCAACAATTTTACACGTTTCCTAATAATAAATAAAAGATATTTGGCAATTATAACTCGTGTACCTTATAATATTTTTAGTGTCAAAATTTCACCCTTTCGATTGGCCGGCCCCGCTTTATGCCCCGGGATCGCGCTGTCAGACATGACTATTTTACAATGGCTACACAAAAAGATACTTCACACAAAAAATTAGCCATGTAACGATGATAAGGTTTTTTATGTAGCTCTCGGTCTACAATAGACGCTTAATAGTATACGATTAGGTACATTAGAATTACATTTTAATTGCATAATGTCTCGTTTGCTTTGTATAGCCAAACATGTTTATTTCCACAGGAACAAAGTTTTTTTGCCAACTTAAAATGACTAGGTATTGCATTACCGTTTCATTTTCATTATAATAATACTTAAACATGGTTTAACCTTCATGGTAAATTAGCCGAAAAATTACTGTTAAATGACTTGTTTAAATAATAACAACTATGAACAATTATTTTCCAAAATTACTCTCACATAAAGTCTGTCCTGTGAGAGGAACTCTGAAGAGCAAGTAGTACCTCTTTCTATCAACTATATTTAAACTAGCGTGTACCAGCGACTTCGTTCGCGTCGAATTAATCATTTGTAATGGTGATGATAAAGCAAAGCAAGAATTTCCATTAACATACAAACTGGATAAAATTTTTTCACATTTATGTCAGCATGAGAAAAAACAATATGGCGATATTATTATATAACTTGGTAATATTTGAGGGGTAGTTTCATCTCGTTGGAATTTGACTTCGAAAAATCCGTTTGCCAAAAATAAGCTTTTTACGTCAAGCAGTTTAAGCAGAATCGTGGTTAAGAAATTACCCAACTTTTTGGAACACCCTGTCTGATTTTTTAAAAAATTTCAAAATATATAAAAAAACCAAATAAATTATGCTTGTCCAAGCGTTTTCTCGAAAGACTAACCGTTTTTTAAATAACAAATATTGTAATATTTGAGAGACGTTTTCACCCTCTTGGAATTTGAGATTCGAGAAACCCCTCCTTATCGAACCTCTACACCCCACAGTCAATCCGTTTGCCAAAATCAGCTTTAAACGTCAAGCAGTTTAAGCAGAATCGTGATTACTCAATGGCCATATTTTATGAAGCACCCTGTATAAATTTCTAAAAAATCTTAAAATATGTAAAACAGCAAAATAAAATATACGTGTTTAAGCGTTTTTTCGGAAACTTGACCGTTTTTTAAATAAAAAATATTGTAATATTTGAGGGGTGGTTTCACCCTCTTGGAACTGGAATTTCGAAAAATCCCTTCTTATCGAACCTCTACACCCTAGAATCAACCTGTATGCCAAAATTGAGCGTCTTACGTTGAGTGGTTTGAGCAAGATCGTGATTAATCAGTAGGTCAGTCACTTAAGGATTTTATATGTAAAAAAAATATATATTAGTATAGTATAGATAAGTGAACAAGTGAACCTTTCATTTTTTGAACCTTTAAAAGTTAAAGCATATTTTAAAAGATTCGGTAAAGGTTAAGTATGAAGATGATTCGCTTAATCGTGTATTTATTTACAGTTTGATCTAGATAGGTAAAAGGTTAAGATATCTATAGTATTGAATTACCAAGGAAAGGTTCGTTCTGTATAATTGGACAATCGACTCCTTAAAATGGGCGAGTTAATGTTTGTTTTTTAATTCATTTAGTTTACAGGGTGTCCCATTTTCGTGTGTTTTACCAAAGAATATTTTAAAAAATTATAATATTCTTTGGTTTTAAAGGGTTTTACTTAGTTTCGGAAGTGTGCAGCTTTTGGATACCACGCTGTCAATTAGCGTTATTGCTATTTCCGATGCACCTGTGCAATAATTTTAAACACGGAAACTAGCGTGGAATAGCCAATAACCAAAATTTGACGTCGAATAAATTATTCGAATTTCTTTATTTGACAAAATTGAATAATTTCTTTTAAAGCGCGTCTCCCGTGATCAAATTGAAATACAAAAGCTTCCAACGGATACAAAACATCTGCTTTTATTATGATTGTTATTGTGACGTTTTAAAGGTCACATACATTCTTCTCTTTTTTTTTTGTTCAGAGATTTTCCATTGATGAAAGCATAACTGTTGAATGTAGCGAGGAACATAAAAGAAAGACCCTTTAAAGGCCTAGAGGAAGCTAATTTCTCACATGGGTACTATTTTTTGAATATTTCATTTATGTAGGCACGTAGCCACGTAGTATTTCTACCGG